CAAATAAATACTTTAGTAAGTATTTAATGTATATACTAAATAGGAATATATTTGGTATAATCAAATACCAAATATAATCAAATAAGTCAAAGTGTACATTTTTATCATTTTTATTTGGTATTTGATTTTTTTATTATTAAAATCTTTTTATTATACTTATCTTTGTAAAATAAATAAATAAATAAATCAGTTAAATAAATAAAATATTATAATACCAAAATAGTAATGTCATTTAATGCAGTTGGCTTTTCTGGATAGTAAATATAGTAAATAAAATCTCCTTTTATATAAGTATAGATTTTATAATACGAAAATAGTAATGCAATAAATGTTGTTGACTTTTCTTTATACTAAATCTGGTAAATAGTATACCTTTTAATATAAGTATAGATATGCATAATGAATGAACTAAATATGTATCATGTATATATTTAATTTAAACATAACAAATATGTACTATAGATGAACTAAATATAAATTTTATATGCATTATCTATAACTAAATATGCACCTGTTATGAACTAAATATGCATCATGTATTGATGGGTTTTCTCCTAGATCAAGAGTAAATCGGTTGAGATGAGCTCTATTTGTCTAAACTGCCTCTAGATCGCCACGAACACCCGCAAAAACTCAACACCGGAGGGATTTCCGGCGTAGAGCCTCCGAAGCTTAAGTCAGTATCAAGAATAGAAGAGTGCTCTGCAGATAGAGCAGCAGCAGAATATGGAATGTGTAGAGAGTGTCCAAAATTAGGGTTTGGTCTTACCTCATTCCCTTTTATAGGGGTAAATACCTTCCCGGAATGTCCCCCAGTTGGCCTTCCCAGCTGCCCAATTTATCCATATCCTAATCACCTCTTAGTCAGATCTGAGTCATCCCAAGATTCCATGTTATCCTCTTAAGATTCCTTCTTATCCGTCAAGCCTGTTGAGTATTGAAGTGAGGCCATAGTCAATCATGTACTTCGAGCTGGGAAGAGTGGGAAGTCGACTTCGAGAGGCAGAAGGTCGACTTAGAACTAATAAATAGGCGGAGCCACAATCTCATGAGATCCTACTTCTTGCCCCTAGGTCTTCTTTGAGTCCATGATACAAGGAGTCAACCTCGAACTATGATGGGAGTAAGATTGACCTTGAGGTGTAGAGGTCGACTGTAAACCATAATGGCGATGCATGAGGTCGACCTCGAGCTGCGGATGCGTGAGGTTGACCTCGAGATGTTCATAATGATGAGGGAAGTTGTCATCCCTCCGCTTGCTCTCGGACCGCTCTTAACGTCCTCGGGCTGCTCTTTACTGGTATCGGGTTACTATTCTTCCAAGTCGCTCTCATACGTACAACTCGAGGCCCTCGAGTTACCATTCCGATGCCATTTAATTCGAGTTATTCTCTTTTTCTCGAGTCGTCATGTTGTAGCTCGACACAACATCCGGTCTAGCTATTCCTTATTTCAGCTTATCCTATTATGGCTATATCTCATGTATAATTTTAACTTTATTTCAATCCTAAAGAAGAGAAAGGTCTTTCCTCAGAAATGCTTTAGTGTGAGGGTGTATTCTATGCATCGTGTATATATTTAATTTAAATATAACAAATATACACTATGGATGAACTAAATATGCACTTGGTATGAAGTAAATATGAATGATGTATATAATTTAAATATAACAAATAAGCACTATGGATGAACTAAATATGCACCATGAATGAACTTAATATGCATCATGTATATATTTAATTTAAATGAAACAAAACAGATGTCCAAGCAAATAGCTCAAAAGTCATAAGATTTCAAGATTACCGAGTTAAAATTAAATGAGGTTCTAGTGGATTCAGTTTTAAGTGGAGGAAAATTACAGAAGTTGTCCCAGTACGAGACATGTCTAGTTTTAAGACATTTCTGGTGGCAGGAACTCGTTGTATTCAACTCAAGAGCCAAGGCAAACAATGAAAAATTAAAGAAGTACGGGGCAATTTTGTTTTTACGATGTTTTAGGTGGCAGGATCTTGCGGTATTCAGCTCAAGGGCCAAGGTAAACCAGGAAAAATAAAAGAGGCATTACGCCCAAATTTATCCAGCTCTTTTTTATCTAGATTACTTTATAAGTTATTCCGACAAGTTTTCCTTGATTATCAATAAAATCTTAGTCAAATTTAGTCAAGTTCGGTATGAATTTAAGTTTTCAATTTTTATTAGGGGACAGAACTCCGAGCAGGGGATCTCAAACCAAAGGGGTTGAGATACTTTCAAGAGGCAGAACCTCGAGAATACGAGCTCGAGGATTCAAGGATAGTTAGCAAAATCTCGAGCAGATAGCTCGAGAACCAAGAATCTCTCGTTGGACAGAACCCTGAGCAGATGAGTTCGGGAGTCCAAGTAAAGTGTCAGAACCTCGAGTGGTTAGCTTGAGGGCCAAGTAAATTAGTAGAACCTCGAGTGGTTAGCTCAAGGGCCAAGTAGAGTAGTTGAACCTTGATTGGTTAGCTCGAGGGCCATGTAAAGTAGCTCGAGTGCCTAAGTAGTTTAGTTGCGAGGTTGGCCCATTTCAAGTAGCTTGGAAGTCTGAAGACCTAAGGAGCTTGGATACCCGAAGGGACCACATGGCTCGCAGGTCAAAAATGGGAAGGTGGTGGTTCTAACCTGGTTATGCTCTGAGCAGTTAGCTCGGTGTCTACATTTTTAAAGCGGAAAGCCCAAACAGTTGGATCGGGTGCCAAAATTTTTGAAATGACAGATGCATTAGCAGATAACTTGAGTAACAGACATTTTAAAAGTACAAAACTCTGAGCAGGTAGATCGAAGGCCACAAGGGCAAGAAAAGTCCAAAGTTGTCTCGAGAGCCATAGTTGTACGCAAGTTGTAGAACTCCGACGTAGTAGACCGTGGGGCCTCGATAGGCTGAGAACCTCGACCCCATATATAGGATTACTTGTCATAATTCTGTGAGATATATAGGATTACCATTGAGGATTGGGCACTCAAAAAATCAGACTTTTCAATTCATACAGGATAGAGTGGTAAACAAAGTTACTTCTTGGAAACATAGGTATATTTCTCTTGAAGGTAAAGAGATTTTGCTCAAATCAGTCCTGGCAGCTCTTCCACTATATGCCATGTCATGTTTTTTGCTGCCTAAAACACTATGCCATAAAATCTCTCAAATTTTTGCAAGCTTTTGGTGGAAGAAAGAGGCAGATCAGAACAGTGGAATCCATTGGAAGTCATGGACCTACCTTACTCTCCCAAAAGATAAAGGTGGTTTTGGTTTCAAAGACATCCTTTTGTTCAACAGAGCACCCATTGCAAAGCAACTCTTGAGGCTGATGACAAGACCAAATTTACTGGTCAGTAAGGTCCTTAAGGCCAAATACTTCCCACATGAAAGTTTCTTCACAGTACCTAAGAAGAAGAATGAGTCATGGTTATGGAACAGTTGGATTGAGGTCAGAGACTCTTTGCAGGAAGGAGCAAGATATGATATCAGAAATGGGAAATAACAAAAAATCTGGGAGTTTCCATGGATCCCAACTTTGCCAGGTTTCAAACTCTCATCAACCCCTTCAGACAAACAGCTCATCTCATATGGGTGAAAGATTTGTTTGATCAAACAGGCAGGCATTGGAATACTCAGCAGTTCAATCCACTTTCACTGTCACAAAAGCTCAAGCAATTTTCAACATAAAAAATCTTGATCCCTTAGCACCAGACAGGCTAGTTTGGGATAGTGGGACTAATGGAGCGTTCTCAGTCTTATCTACATATTCAAAGCTGGTAGCCCAACAATTGAAAATTATGGACTTTGCAGAGAGCAGCAGAGGTCATTCAATGCATAAGGAAACTAGAAAGAGAAGTTGGGGTCTCAAAGTAAAGGGCAAATTAAAACATTTCCTATGGAGGTGCCAAACAAACACTCTTCCTGTTAACTGTAAACTTATCAAGAAAGGGATGGACATAGACTGTATTTGCAAAGGTTGTGGAGAAAAACCTGAGACAGTGAAACATTTATTTTTTGAGTGCCATGGAGCAAAGAGAATCTGGAGACTTGCACAAGGGCTGAGAAATCAGACAAATAACTTTCAGGGATGGTGGTCAAATGTGTGTAGTCTGAACAGAACAACAACCTCAGAAGTAAGGATACAGCTTTCCACATATATACTATGGTGGTTGTGGAAAGCTAGAAACTGTGGGTATTTCAAGACTCTTCGCTGGAAGACAAAATTGTTGCAGACCAAACTGGTAAAGACTGGAGAGAGTTTGCAGCTGTGAGATGAGCAGGGCATTATGATTTTGGTGTTTGTAGTTCTTGGAAGCAGTCTTTTAAGGCTTTTGTTGATAGTCAGTAGTAGATTGTGAGAAGGTTCCTTCTTTTGGTTCTAAGCAGCCTTCCTTTTTTGTTGCTTGGGGTTCATCTAGGCCTTTTGTGCAGTGGTTGAACCCTTTTTGGTGTTATGGAGTTTGAAGTTAGCTAATGGACTCAATGGGATAGACATTGCCACTAGCTAGCATACAAACTATGTTTTGCAATTCTTTGTTGTTTATATAGTTTTGTTGCTTGGGGTTCATCTAGGCCTTTTGTGCAATGGTTGAACCCTTTTTGGTGTTATGGAGTTTGAAGTTAGCTAATGGACTCAATGGGATAGACATTGCCACTAGCTAGCATACAAACTATGTTTTGCAATTCTTTGTTGTTTATATAGTTTTGTTGCCTAGTAGTTTTAGCACTTGTCGTGCGGGGTTTTGTTGACCAATTGGTCTCCGATTTGTACAAACTCTATTTTTTTCGTGTTGTGATCGTGTGTTGATAACCGGGAGATCACAAGAGATCAACGAGCCTCGAAGAATAAAAATAAATAAAAAATAAAAAAAAAATTAAAAAATATATTTTTTTATATAAATTTTATTCTCTTGATCCTGTTGTTAAAAAGGAAATTTAAGTGATATTATTCACCATACTTATGAGAGAGAGAGAGCCCATTACCAAATGAAATTTTGTTTCTTCATAATTTGCAACCAAATGATTAATCAATATTCTACAATGTTTAATTATGATAGTAGAATTATTTATGACGTAATCACTTGTAGAATAATCAAACTAATTGATTTACAATCCATCTATAAGATTATAACAAAATACACAAGAAAGGTAATGTATGATGAGCCAATAGTTAAGCAAAAACACATCTACAAGCATCATACATGCACATGCCACCTCTAACATAAATCACATATGCACCATTCTTTTCACCTTAATTTCCAAGAGTTAGTTCCATTGCATTTTCTCAATACCACAAATCATGTCGACCATTGGTGCTATCCAAATGGATTTCCTGTTCTTGATAACGTGGAATTAGGTATCGTAGGCGAAGAGTTTGTTCCACTTGTTAAACAAATTGGGTCAATGGATGCAAATGCATCCTCACTTTTGGTCAAGCTAAAATCACTTGCTTGTGGCCTGCAAAAGAAAGAGGATAACAGTAAGCAGTGAAATTTATGAAGAAATAGAATTGATATAAGAGTAAAAATATGTGTTGTTTGGAAAGTTGTAAACGAACCGAACATTCGCGAACAAAAGCTCGTTCGAGCTCGTTCATGTTCGACAAAAACTCGTTCGTTTGTTAATCGAGCCGTGTTCGAACATAAAATTAAGCTCGTTTAATAATCGATCGAACACGAGCTTGTTCGCGAACGTTCGACAATGTTCGCGACATTAATTTAATATAATTTTATTTTATTTTTTATATATTTACACGAACGAACTCGAACTTTGACGAACAGTTAAACGAACGAGCTCCAACACGATTTTTAGCTTGAAAAATAACGAACGAAGACGAACACTGTTCGAACGTAAACGAACACGAGCTCGAACAGTCCAAGATCGGTTCGGTTCGGTTCGTTTCGTTTACAGCACTACTTGTTTTTTCTTATTAAAATAAATAAAATAAAATAAAATAAAAAAACCATTTCTCTAATACTACGTTGACTAGACTGGCTAAGGTCAGACCAAAAAATTTCTATTCATCTTCCAAACAAACACATACTATAAATGAAAATAAAAATAAAATTACAAAAGAAAAATGCTTCGGTTGAGCTAAATAAAAGCCCAATTCATATAGGGTAAATAAAAAATACGGCTCAACCCAAACATTTGAAAATTTTATAAATTTGAAAACTACACTCAACACCACCAAAAATAATGAAAACAAGAACCTTCGAAACAAATAAACTAAGTTACCTAGGCTGTGGAATGTTATTTGGTAGTTGTACCATGTAACCTCCAGGACCTATAGAGTCAAGTAAGCATAAATAAATAGAGGAAAAACAACGACGCCATTAAAACAAGAAATGAATATCTTTATTGTTGGGAATGATTTTTTTCTTTCTATTTTTATTGTTGGAGATAAAGAACGTCTTTTTCTTTAATTTACCTAAATGCATGTTAGTTGAAAACACATGAGGAACCATTGGCCTTGCACAATGTGATGGCTGAGATACTAATCCAGCTGAGACTGCCATGTTTGAAAATCCTTCTTGCAATGGTGACATGGAAGGAAACTAATCGAAAACCAAAATAAAGATTCTGAATTAAGATTGAAAAAATATGAGGTTGGAAAGTAATGTTATTTATTTACCATTGCTACTTGAGATTGGAATCGTTTGTCACCGGTATCAAATGGATTTTCGGGTCTTGAAGCATTGTAAAGAGCAGTTGCAGACTGTAGGCAGATATTCATTTAAAAAAAAAATAGTATATATTTTTTTCTACATTCATCATAAAGTGATTTGAATGGTTGTTCCTATTTTCTTTTCTTTTTTATTTTCTTAGGAAACTTACAATTTCTGGAGAGCGAAATTGCATGTCGTATCCCATTCCATATGTTTGGTGCATCTGCCAACCAATATTTGGTGGGGGAAGGGAGGCAAAGTTTGAAGTGAAAAGACCCTGTTTCGCAAAATTGACAAACTCAAAGCTTCTTCAACTAAGATAGCAATTGCAAATTCTAAAAGAAACTAAAAATAAAAAAAATACTCTATAATACAAGTTGGCCACTACCTCCGGGATTTCCTTCCTTGAACTAGCTTTTGATCCATCCCCTTGAGCCAAAGCTTCTGATGGTTGATCAATTGGAATACTTCGAACCGACTTTACATCTTTCAACTTGGGTGAGCTATTCGAAACCTAGAATTCAAATAGTAGGAAACATCACCTCCTCGTTTAATAAAATTGTCCCCATAGCTTTCAGCTAAATACAAAAGAAGCTAAAGTTTTCTTCACAACAAAATCCCAAAATGTTTGACATTAAGAGAATTATGTTTAATTTTTGTTGTTGATGAACAAACATGAATAAATTGTAGGTGATGTTTTGAAAACCTTTTTCAATTCAATAAGTGGCACACAAAACATAGAGCATCACAATTCTTCTCACTTGTCGAGCATTGATGTCACCATGAGGATTAAAAGACATCTCATCTTCCTGCAGCGAATGGAGGTGAGGATTTTTACGGCTATCGTCCATTGGTTGATCATTTTGTAGGATCTCAACCTTTTTCATGGATGCATTATTAAGATGTGAAGAAGAAGCTTCAAATATGGCAGTTGGAGGTGAACTCACAGGTTTTACCGAGTTAAATAGCAAAGACTCTAATGAGTTGGGATTGTTAGGAGCTATGTGGGTAGATGGAAATGTGCTATCGTTATTGTTTTTAGAGGATGTTGTTGATTTGGGTGCTTCTATTTCTGGTGGATTATTATCAGGCTCGGCCTTTTCGTCATCAAACTCGATCAAGCTACAAGGATCTAAAGTCTCGTTTTGTTTTTGATTCGTCAGTCGTGGGAGGATAGTAGCACCAGTTGTATTCTGCAAATACATGGAGGAAACTCATGTTCTAAATAATTTTGTGTTTGATATATATGTATGTA